AATTAATTAAATTTCATGTTGGTTCACTTACACCCCATTTGTTTAAATGTATATATATTATTCTTTTTCTATATTCATTGATTCAAATTAAATAAAATTCCATGTTCATGAATCAATTTGATTGTTTTCGTACAATTCAATTATTTATATGCGTGTATGTTTAATAATTGATATTCAATTAAATATATATTGAAAAACGAAAAGCAAGGTACCATTGAAATAATTAAATTGTAGTGGGCCTAAAATCGTCCAGAAAATGATTCTCACTTAATGTAATATTTAATATATTATAGATATTCATTTATTCAAATTAATCAAATTTCATGTTGGTTCATGTACACCCAATTTGTTTAAATATATATAAATTATTATTTTTCTATATCTATTAATTCGAATTAATTAAATTTCATGTTGGTTCAGTTACACCCCATTTGTTTAAATGTATATACATTATTCTTTTTCCATATTCATTTATTCAAATTAATTAAAATTACATATCCATGATTCAATTTGATTGTTCTCGTATAATTCAATTATTTATTTGCTTGTATGTTTAATAATTAATATTCAATTAAATATATATTAAAAACGAAAAGTAATGTACTATTGAAATAATTAAGTGTAGTGGTGCTAAAATCGTCCAGAAAATGATTCCCACTTGATGTAATATTTAATATATTATAGATTAAAGAACGGGTGCATTAACAAAAGTTTAAATAGCACGCAAAGTTCTCACATTTTACTGTTATTGTGGAAAATGTCATTATCTTTTATTTTTGGCATTTTCATCTTTAATTGCGCAAAAAGTCATTTTCATCTATTTTCTCAATTAAAAGAAAAAGAAAAAAATAATTGCAATAATGGTCTTGATTTTTTTAAAAAAAGTGCAAATGAGTTCCCAAATAAATTATTAACATTTCCACCCTTAATTACACATTTGATTGCATAAATTATTCTTTCTGTTCATTTTCATTTAATTTCTCAATAAAGAACTATGAAATGATGAATGTACCTTACTATTAAAAAAAGAAAATTAAAGAAAAATATTTATTTTTATTTCTAATTTTTTAATAATTTATTCAGGATCCGTTTGCACTTTTTTAATTTTTTAAATAAATTCAATTAAGGCTCGTTTGCACTTTTTTTTAATAAAAAAAGTAGTTTAATTTCTAAATTTTTAATAATTTACTTGAGACTCGTTTACACTTTAAAAAAAATAATTTCCAACTTTTTAATAAGTTCTTTGGGACTCGTTTGCATTTTTTTTAAAAAAATTGAAACTATAGTTGCAATTATTTCTTTAGCTTTTTTATTTAAATATGAGGACATTTTCATTATTTCATAACTCTTTATTGAGAATTGAATGAAAATTGATAGAAATGATGGTTTGCGCAATCAAATGTGTAATAAAGGGTAAAAATGTAAAAAAAAAAAGATATGGACTTTTTCGCAATAATAGTGAATGGTAGGAACATTACGTACTAATTACTCTTTTAATAATTTATGTATGCCTCATTTGCACTTTTTAAAAAATCTAGGACTATAATTGCAATAATTTTTTTCTTTTTATTTTTGTTTTATTTAAAGAGAAGGGTATATCCATCATTTTACAATTTTTAATCGAGAAAGTTGATGAAAATGAATTTTTTGCGTTCGCCCCCGTTTGTGACACCTTTTTATCTCATTAAAATGAAAAATATAACTGTTATCCATCACATCAACATTTAAATTCAAATTTTCTATTTCTTGTGTGAACCCCAATAACGGCTATATTTTTCATTCTCATTCTACAATAAGGTGGCTCAAATAGGGCCGAAATGTGAAATAAGGATGAAAATGTCAAAAAATGAAAGGTAATGACGTTTTCCACAATATTAGTAAAAGGTGGAGACATTCCGTGCCAATTACCCTTAACAAAATATGTTCGGCATGGGATGTATACACAAAATGACAGAGAAGTGGACGATAATAGTTAATTTTAAACAAGAGTAATTGGCGCAAAACCTCCCTACCTTTGATTTTTTTGGTGCAAAACGTCCTTTTCCCTATTTTTTAACATAAAATGACCGATATGCCCTCCAATTGAAATAAAACAAAAAGGAAAAGAAAAATAAAGAATAAATTACAATTTGCTCCTAAATTTTTTAACAATGCAAATCAGTCCAAAACTTATGAAAATATTNACAAAATGACAGAGAAGTGGACGATAATAGTTAATTTTAAACAAGAGTAATTGGCGCAAAACCTCCCTACCTTTGATTTTTTTGGTGCAAAACGTCCTTTTCCCTATTTTTTAACATAAAATGACCGATATGCCCTCCAATTGAAATAAAACAAAAAGGAAAAGAAAAATAAAGAATAAATTACAATTTGCTCCTAAATTTTTTAACAATGCAAATCAGTCCAAAACTTATGAAAATATTTAAAAAAAAAAAAAGGAAAAAAAAAACTCTCTCCCCTTCTCCTCCTCTCCCTCCCTGAGCAGCTGAGCCTTCTCCACCACCTCCACCTTCCGTCCTAACAGCACTCCATTTTTTCCGTCCTATCTATAGCCTCCGCTCCGCTTTCACCAACTTCTTTTGATGCAAGCACACAAAATGAAGCAATTACCCTTTTAAAAAATCAGTTTCGAATCAGAACTAAATTAAAAAGTGGTGGCTGTGCCACCAAACTCCACCACAAATGGTGGTGGTTAGACCCATCAAACGGCTAGACCCACAAAATTCAATCCATGATTTTCATTGTTAATTGATAAAATTGGTTGATTACCCATGACCATACCATTGCCAATTGAAGATTTCTTGGTCGAAGTAAGCATTTGTAAGAAGGCAGATTCATCTAATTCCTCAGTTCCAAATTTTTCCCAGACACCGCGAACTTCAACCATGAATTGCTGGAAATCTGGACAAAATTAACCTTGACACATTGTAGGGCAAGGTGCGCCAAGTGATGGGGAGTCAGGCCCAGGTAGTCCGAGGCCGTCAATCGACCGGACGGCGCTGAAATCAGCAGAAGAAATGTGCGTTGTCGCACTGTTCGTGACAGATTTGTTTTCTGGTTTAAATTCAGCATGATGGAGAGATGTTTGGACAAAATTGGTGACATGGGAAGGGTCGCCCAAGGGTGGGTTAGTGACTGGTGTTTGGCTCCGGACAAGTTGGTAGCCGGAAATAGAGAAACCGACAGTTTGCACATTTTTTGGCAATGAACTTGGATTCGCGATTCCGGCTAGATTACTTGGAGTTAGGGGCAGCTATTTGGTGGTAATTGAAGAGGAGGTTATGCTCTTTCCAACAGTATCAATATCCGGTGGTTTAGGTGGAGGTGGTGGAGGAGGATCAGGGAGGGATAGGAGGAGAAGGGGGAGAGTTTTTTTTCTTTTGTTATTTTTAATACTTTCATAAGTTTTGGACTGATTTGCATTTTAAAAAAGTTTAGGAGCAAATTGTAATTTATTCTTTATTTTTTTTTTCTTTTCCTTTTTGTTTTATTTCAATTGGAGGGTATATCGGTCATTTTATGTTAAAAATTAGGGCAAATGACGTTTTGCACCAAAAAAATCAATTTTTTTTTTTTTTTTTTCTTTTTCTTTTTCCTTTTATTTCAAGTGGAGGGTGTATATGTCATTTTATGTTAAAAATTAGGGAAAATGACGTTTTGCGCCAAAAAAATCAAAGGTAGGGACGTTTTGCGTCAAAAAATCAAACGTAGGGACGTTTTCCACAAACAGAGGCAAAGGTAGGGACGTTTTGCGCCAATTACCCTTTTAAACAACATTAGGTATTGAACACCGTGTCGTTCGAATTGAAAAATTCACAGCATTTTATTTTCACTGAAAGATAATTAATTATCTAAAGAAAGGAACTGCAGTTGTATTCTAGAAAAGGAGATTTTTCGAATCTTTAGAACAGACGGGGGTAATTTTAGAGTTACTGCGGAGATCTATCCTCGATGGGAGTTATGTCAAAGTAAACTGCTATTCTAGGAAGCTCCAGCTGCTCAGATAGTCATAAACCTCATTCCACTTGTGAAAGGCCACCACCCGTCTCAGCTCGTGTTCTGCACACAAATCCAACATTTTCAAAATGGATCGAGATGAATTCAAAGAACTAGCAAATAATAAATGTTAGTGTTTAGCACTTGGAAAGAGTAGTGTAGTCAGCAAAGAAGTAAACACGCATGTACATTATAATGTGGACATGTCCTAAACATGGGACTTCCTGTCCTATTGGACCCTTCATTATACAGACCAAGAAGCAGGTTCAAAAGTCTGATTCAACAACAAAGTAACCCTCATTCTAAATGAATTTGGCATAACTAAAGTTCTTTTTGTTCACTGTTTTCGGTTTACTACTACATCAAGAAGACCCAGGTTATCACAAGCATTTCAAAAGACTGACATTAATCACATGCATGTTGGGGCCTCTTAGTGATTAAATTTCTGAATGGGGAAACGGAACTTACTTGTGATCTGAAGGATTTGGCATGACTTCATAAACAATGGTAGCGACAACATCTCTCTTCAGCTGAAAAACAAACAATCATATATCATTCAAACACCAAGTAAACAACATTCCAACTATTGTACCCAAAATACCTGTGTTGCTTCTCCTTTTAAGCCAATGTAGTGTATTTGACTTGTCTCACCACCGAAATTCTCTGGAAAATGCAAAGTAATATTTCCCACACTTTGAAACCTAGAATATCTAATTGAGAGCATACAGATATACTATCAGAAGTCAAAACCAGTAACAAGTTCTACAAATTGTAGTTCAAGATGTCGGGCTGAAATGTAGAAGCTTCACCATACTCTACCTCAAAAAGAGAAGGAAAAAGAAACGAACTGCTTCCAAAAAAACTATAAATATAGGAAATCAACTCCATTAATGGCCTGGAAAGTTTACCTCGTCTGATACTCCAGAACTCCTTGCAGATTTTCAACCAAGTCCCACTCCTGGGAAATCAAATAAGCCACAATCAAGTGATTAATCCCAATCACAATCCCTCAAAGAAGCTAACACGTTAATTTACCTGAACAGGTTGCATATTCTGAGCATCTGAAAAGTCAATACCATCCCGATTGATGAAACTACATTTACACAATACACAGAACATGTTAATATGGCAACAAATATAACTGGCTCCACAAATAACGAAAAGTAGTGAACCAACGATTACTGAGTAAATTATGATGCTACAGCAAATAACACATAAGAATTCAAATATTAGGACTTACGCTCTCATCTTTGCAGGACTAGTCCCATCAGCACCACCAACAATTGAGATGCTTTTGATCTTAACATCTGATGTAAATCTACATAAAACATTGAAAAAATAATAAAACGCAAATTCACAACCACATAACTTGGCAACACAAGGAAACAAATTCATCAATAGCATCTACTAAAGTAAGTTTAAAGAAGAATCGGATATGATGTGAACTACATGACCCTTTGATTTATCACTATTAATCTATTTTGCTGAAGTTAACATGTCAGCGAGACACAAATGTTTGTTTGCATCTAAACAAAATATGCTCATAAAGAGGTAAGTGCGTTTAAATATAAGTTTATTTAAATAAAATTCTAAAATAATTAGGCTAAAGAAAAAAAATATAAAATTAAAAAAAATAAATTAAATTAAAATTCTAGAAAAATAAAATCTACATTCTAAAAGAATAAAAATTCTAAAAAATAAAAATTTTGAAAAAATTAAAATAACAAATAGTTCAATCTTTTATTAGTTATTTAAATAGAAATTCTAAAAAATTATATTTAAATGAACATAAATAAACTTCTCATTTCACATCATTAATTTTTATTTTCAATGTTTTTCCAACTTAACTTATTATTTTTTATTTTACTTTTGTAGCGAAAAAAATATTTTAAGATAACCAACTTTATAATTTATATATTACTTGTTAATATATTAACATAAAATTGTTCTATTTTACCCGGTAATCAAATTTCATGAAATAAAATGTCGTAAAACAATTCATTTTCCAGTTTTCTGTTTTGTAAACAGTTTTTCAGAATGATAAACAATGTGCATTTTCAGCAATCTTAAAACCCTCAAAATAGAAAACTGAAAATGAACTCCAAACTGAAATGAAAACCAAACGGCTCTCAAGCTTCCAAAAACTCCGCAAACCAAGCAAAACTGCCAAAAAAATATTGCTGGGAAAAGAATACCAAGAACAAATAATGGAAGTAGATGATAGAGGAAATGTCCTTTAAGATAGAAGGAAATAAGACAAAATAAGTGTAAATATAATTATATCCCCTTTACCTTATGTGTGGTAAACTGAATTAACAAAACAAGGGATCACAATATAACTTTTGCAACATCAATAGGAAGATATGACAATCTAAAGACTATTATTAAGCTCCTGCTCGGTACGCATTCTCTAAAAATACATTATTTAAAAACTCATTTTCAACCACACATTATTCAATAAAATAATATTTTTCATCACATCAATAAAGTTTCCTTACTTTTTAACTAATATTTTCCATCATATCACTATTTAAAATACGTAATTTT